ACACGCTATGGTGTTTGGTGTTATATGTTATGACAACGCTATGGTGTTGTGTACATGTTACGATGCACCGCTATGTGTGTTGTGTACACGTTTACACAATATGGCGTTGAGTCGGTGAGTATCGTTATGACACGCTATGGTGTTTGTTACATTACGACACGCTATGGTAATTGTGTACATGGTTACGACCACCGCTAATGGTATTGTGTACATGTTACAATATGCATTAGCGCTGAGTATCTGTTACAACACGCTATGATGTTGTGTATATGTTATGACACGCTATGGTATTGTGTACATGTTACAATATGCATTAGCGCTGAGTATCTGTTACAACACGCTATGATGTTGTGTATATGTTACGACACACTCTATGGTGTGTGGTAGTTATGTTACAATATGCATTAGTCGCTAGGTACTGTTACAACGATGCTATGTGTTTGTGTATATGTTTACCGACACACATGGTGTTGTGTATAGGTTACGACATGCTATGGTGTTGTGTATACTGTTTAACGACACCACTCTGGTTTGTGTATATGTTACGACATGCTATGGGTGGGTTGTGTATATGTTACAATATGCATTAGTGCTAGGTATCTGTTACCACACGCTATGGTGTTGTGTATATGTTAGGACACGCTACAGTGTTGTGTATACATTACGGCACGCAATAGTGCCGCGTATACGTTTTGACACGCTGTGGCGTCATGTATACGTTACAACACGCAATGGTGTCTATTTCCTCATTTCCATTTCATCTTCTCAAGGATTTTGTACTTGTTAACTCTTCCAAGCATCATTAATTTCACACCTAGGAGTTGCTGGTTTTCCTTTTATTCCTGCTGCTTCAGAGCTTCCCATCTTGTCCATCCAGGTGCCACAGTTGTGGTCGTTGCCTCCAGCTACAAATCCTGTCTCTTCAACGATGGCAATGCGATTTCTAAAGCCTGTATGGAGACATTACAAACAGAATAATGCATCTATGTTGTTCATACTGCCATTTTCTAGGCACCAAAAATATTTTGAGTCTGTGGTCATAGATTTGTCACAAGCCTGAGTGGGGAAAATACAAATAAAATGGAAATCTGTGCGGATTGTATTTCGATGTCTGTCACATCTCAAAATGTATTTTAATATTGTGCAAGAATGCATTGTCCGGAGTTCAGTCTTCAGTCTTTAATGATGTACCGTGAAAAGACGTATTAGACATGTACACTGTAAGCGGGAATGTGTCATCGAATAGTCATCATCCGTGGACATTTTGATCACGTCGTGAATTTAATTTGTTCATCCTGCTTCTGGTAGCTTATACATGAGCTACCTCCTCCCCCACTGGGGTGTAAATAGGGAATCGTTCGTCGCAGCTCTAGCTAACTATATACATCAATAATGGAAACTAATATCAAACAAATTGCGTTTCAGCGACTATGAGGGTTCTCCTTCTACTCTGTATCAGCGGACTTGCCCGTGCCATTCCCTACCCCCCGGAGTTCTTCGTCACATCCACGCCCGTACTGACGGCCAACGCTCGCGCTCTCGGATCCGGATCTAAGCAGGCGACCGGCCAGTACGGGCGTGACGGCCAGGCTGCCGGCGCGGACTACGAGAAGGATGGTGCGACGGCAGCAGATACCGCCGCCAGGGCGGGAGGTTACGAGTACGGATACAGGTGAGAATTGGCAACGCGCTCTTGCCTGGACTGATACGATACGATACACTATACGACGGTCTGTTTTGGTAAAATAGTGAAATAAAATATATGAAATGAATATAAAAGAGTGGTCCGCGCCGTTTGTGGTAAGATAAAGTACCTACTACGGATAAACCAGATATTCACGGGCCTCAAAACCGTCGTAACCATGGTAAACGACGTAGATTTTGCAATGGCAACCATTGCTGCTGAATTTTTATGCGATATCTTAACAGATGTGCAGTGCTAAAGGCCGACTAACTGATGACACGAGTTGGTAAATCTCATGACGCGTGGGTAAGGTGTCGCATGACATTTCGCGGTTAGGGACGGACAGCAACTTTAAGACTGGCGGCTTTCAAAGTGTTGCTATAATCAGACGGAAAGAGTTGGCAAGGAATCGATCACCACGTAAGCACGCGTGTTTCTTCTTCTTCTAGCGACGGATTCTCGTGGTACCAGCCGAAAACGCTGTACGCGTTCAAATACGCACAGCCGGCAATTGGCTACAAACAGATTCCGTACAATAGAGTCATCAAACAGAGAGGATACGGATCCGGATTGCACTCGACCGGACTAGGGTACGGTGCTGCCACTACCGGATACGGTGCTGCACCAATCGGTTACAGCTCAGCTGGTTACAATGACGTCGGTTTATATGGAGGCTTGGGCAGGTCACCTCTTCGCTCCCGCCTCACATGTACCTGTGTCTAAACCCGACACTCTACAATGCCGTAAGTGTGCGGACATTGCCTAGGCCATCAGACTGTGTTAAAAAAAACGAAAGAACCCGCAGACACGCGTTACTTATACGTTTTTGTTACCGTCAGTTGTTTGCTCCGTTGTTGTGGCGTGCCGTGAAGTTTTTCATGTTGGAATATTAGTCGATGGTGCATGTTCTGTGCATTCGATGAAATGAAATGAAATGTTTAGGGGAGTTTTTCGCCAATAAAATCTCTCGGCTTTGGGGGAATTTTTCAACCTGGATACATAATTCTGCTGGAATGTATTACTTCAATAAATGGGTAACGTATTGACACAAAGATTGAGATTGGCTGCGCTTGCAGTGTTCGTGATATCGACTTATTTTCTTGAGATATTATTTTCTGTCACACACAGCTACAAGTATGGTCAGGATTAACTTAAATGCAAAGGAAATCCATTAGGTGTATACACACGTCATTGTTGAAACCGGAGATGACAGTAAATATGTATAACTTGTTAATTGTATAATTGTGTTTGTATATTTATTTTGTAAGTATTTATAATTTAATTATAATTATAATGTGTGTTATATTATTAAATATAATACTAATGTGTAAAATAACTATGTATGTAATTGAAATATATATTATGTGTATATTGAAATACTAGAAGGGTAACAATGTTTGATTATTATAAACTTTTACATTAATTGTTACCTGGGTATGATATCAATAATATTGATATGTAAAATCTATTATTAAAGGCCTACAGATGTCACACCAGATGAATAATGCATATAATTATCTGTATAAATATTCATTATGTATAGATGAATGCTTTTGTCATTTTTACCATCGTATTTGACACACGGAATGTCAATAAAACAAATTTTGGTAACACTATTTTCTGAAAGGTCTTACATGGTTTCAAACATTTCCCACATCCAAGTGTTATGTGCACGCAAAATGATGTTAGAGCTTCAACATTAAACATTAAATTGATAATAGACATGTAATATACATATCCGCATGTGTATATCAGCTATTTATCATTGGCATCAGTGTGAGAATTCAAATCCATTGTCATAACGTTATTAATGATATGTAATTTGTGTTTGCATGGCAATTAAGGCATTGCGTATGGGGGATTTAAGGGACTGATGATCCATATACATTTCACCAGCATTGCGTTTACACAGTGACCACCAGGGAACCACACAGACCAACAGACCATCACATGGAGAGCTACATGACCCTAGTGTAGCAAGATAGACACTTCCCACTGTGGCAAACGTATCCCCCTGTGTACATTGTGCCCGAACAATAAAGGTGAAATCCCCACGCGCATGTGCAATAATGGTCAAATCCCCACGTGCATGTGCAATAACGGCCAAATCCCCACGTACATGTGCAATAATGGTCAAATCCCCACGCGCATGTGCAATAACGGTCCAATCCCCACGTACATGTGCAATAACGGTCAAATCCCCACGTACATGTGCAATAATGGTCAAATCCCCACGCGCATGTGCAATAACTGGGAGACGCCTCCACCGCGCGACCGCCTGCGCCGGCGTTCGATCGCTACTCACCTCGGATCGAGCGTCTTCATGCCGAGCGGTCCTAGCATGACCTCCTCCATCGTGTTGAGAGCCGTCCAAGCGTTCTCCACGTCGAACAGCTCCGGCGCGACAACCATCGCTATCGGGAAGTTACAACGCAGCTGGAAGTCTGCCCACACGCGCCTCGCACCGTACGTATCCTGCAGGAGAACGCATACCATACTGCACTGTACTATACTGCACTATACTATACTGCACTGTACGATACTGCACTATACTAT